AGAGGTGTGTCTGCAGAGGGAAAGCCCAACCTCATGCTCGTGGGCCAATACTGCTGACTTTCTTCTATGGAAAGCAGCTAAACTCTGTCCAGTCCAAAAAAGTTGCTTATCATTTTGAAAGTGAAAACAACCAATGGGGACACTCCAACATTTGGCCAACCCAACCAATGGTATAACCTTATCACTCAGTCCAGCGGGATTCGGCTGACCAATGGTGTAACTTCTTCATTCGCTCAACTCAATCACTAGAGATGGCCCGCTTTTGCAGTCTAGCTAAAAACATAACAGCAAATGCATAAACCAACAGGAAGTGGAATATAAAATTACAGACAAATAAAGTAGACTGCAGACTGTACAGATTACAGAGACACAGATCCCAGAAAACAGCAAACACACCAGAAATCTGGGCCCTGCAGACAAACACATTTCAGACTACACACAAAAAGAATCTGCCTATTTGCTTTTGATGGCTTCTTGGCTGTTGCAATGAGATACTGAAATGTTTTATGCTCTCAAGTTTATGAAATAGATGAGACAATATATGGAGCAAAAGTCAATGAGTAATTTAACTAAGTGCAGACCAAAATTATCAACACTTGTTGGACATTATTTTATCAACTAGCATTTGTAATATTCATTTGCAATTAAACAGAAATAATGTTGAAAACACAAGCATTGCCTAAATCTTAATGTTGTATCTTTTGTTTTTTATTGTCTGTGTGTATGTGCGTGTGTGTGAGAAAGGTTGTGCCCTATCCAGACTGAGGGTCTATTAACAGATGGTTCAGTACAATCAGAATTCCTTAAAGGACATTGTACTGAAGTCACAGCGAACATGACCATGCATGTTTGCTGTGAAGAATTTATATACAGTATATATATATATATATATATATATATCATTATATCAAGAAACCCATTGGAAATGCAGGATTATGTTTTCACTGATGATGATGGTTTTTTTTCCATTAGCATGTACAAATTGCTCACTGAGAGAACTGCCATGCTTTTATTTATTTTACGAAAGGTCAGATCGGAGGCGAAATAAATCACTGCCAAAGAATGCAACATGAAGATACATTGCTTTAGTCATTTCACTGTTGTGTACTGAGAACTAACTTCACTGTCCCTGGGTATGGAGCCAGGAATCATAAGAGACAACAAGGACAGAGAAGGGTTTGACAGAGCTCGGCCGTGATGGCTGACCAAAAAGAGCTAACAGCAGCACTGATCCCATGAAATCTGGATTATTGCAGCTTTCATTTGAATCCCCTTACATCACATCACTCTGTATCTGGTCTCTTTGCTCTGCTCTAAAACTACAGTGCAGAACTTTCCCCTGTTTAGTTGCTAAAGTATTAAGGGTCAGCATAGTTGTGGAAAAAATGCTGTCCTTCAGCCTGCAGTCCACTGGCTGAAGTTTCAATGACCATGACACTGAATCACCAAAGGTCCATATTCATTATTTGGTATTTGACCCTGAACTTTGACCTTCCCTTATTGACCTACAGGAGCTAACGAAGTGGTGATATTATCATCACACCATGATAAGCACTTGTAAGAACCACTGATGCAATTTATTCATCAAACCAATATGTGATAACTAACTCTACTTTTTTAATATATTAAATTCAACTGTCCATTCAACTGTGCATGTTGTTGTTAATTTTATGTTCTTATCCTGGAAAATACTGCAAATTTAATCATTGTTGAATTCAATCAGTCTTGTTGAGGATCCTAAATATTAATATTCTACATCATCTTACAATAAATTAATTACCATATTTTGGAATATGGTAATCTGATCGCAACCAGACATATTTCTAGGAGATCAGTAATACACCAGCAAACTCCTAATTGAAATTAAGAGTAGATTAAAATTAAGATTAAAATGCGGTTTGTGATGACACTTTTATGTCAAATTTTAATCCTCACATCACAAAAAATGCACCATTTTCAGAAAGGTTGGTTCTATGAGCTTATAGTTTATCAGTAAACACCAGTATATCGGTGCACTTTAGTTAAGCTACACGGGACAGGACTGCCACCTGAGGAGAGGTATGAGAGACAATTTTCTCGGAAGAAAATATTAAATTTTAATTGTTTTTGTTCGAAGTTTCCTCAGAGGTCCTCATACATTTATGGCAACCTCATACATTTTGTGCTTGTGGGTTGGAAAATTTGACTAAATAGTGATGAGCAGAAGAATTTTCATGCTATATTATAATGCACACACACACACACACACACATGCACACACATAAAGTGCACATATACACATAATACAGACTATATATTCAGATAACTTAAATCCCTAAGTAGGGGTCAAGCAGACCAGCAGGCCAGAGTTGCAATGGAAACATGATGTCGTTATGTCAAGGGCATGGTTGTAAGCAGTCACAGCAAGTTTCATGTCAGTCAATGGCTGAGATATGACTTGATTTCTCGCTTAGCACCTTTGCCTCCAATTTCAATAGGCTGTCATGGTGGAATGCTTTCGCAAATCAAAAATCCATGTCACAACTTGTCAGTCTTAGTCTGAGGATCTTTGCTGCCATTTTTGATTGGCTGTGACTGACAAAGGCTTTGGAAAATCAAAAATCCATGTGATAACTTTTGTGAGGCTTGGTCTGAAGATCATCTGTTCCAAATTTAGTGAGATTGGACAACATTTGTCCAAGGAGGAGTGAAAAAACACGTTTACATAAAATCCAAAATGGCTGAAATTAACATGATATGCATTGGACTCAACTTGATTGAAGGAATCTAATGGGACCTCATTTTTGAAAATCGAGGATACAGTTAAAAAATTACATGCATGAAGGCACCTCCAACTTTGACCTGTTGGTGGCGCTAGAGCGCTTCAGGCACAGATGGGAAAATTGGTGAAAAGCATCACGGGAGTGTCCCAAATCAGTGTGCCCAATTTCAACATGTTTTACCATATGATTCTAGGGGCTGCCTTAGACTCCTGTGGTAGAAGAAAAAGAAAAGTTGGAAACACAATGGGAGCCTACCCAGCTTTGCTGCTTGGTCCCCAAAAGAGCAGAGGACAGGAAAAGTGCAGGTGATTCTTCACACAGCATATGTGATGACAGATGTGACTGACTTAATAGCATGGCATGAAATTCCACCATGACTTCGAGGTTAGTTGACAGTACATTCACAGTGTGGTATCAGAATCACTGTACACATAAATGGAGCCTCTGTGGCTTTTGATGTTTTAGAACAAGTTAGGGGACCACCAGATTCTTTGTCCTTCCCTTCATCTGCAAAGGATTTAATCAGAATAAGTGAAGCATAGCAGCTGGCAGACTGAGTACACATCACTGCACTGCACTAGCTGAAACAAATTCAAAACGCAGCCTTCCTCAAATCTACTGAAGTTCTCTGTATGAATCTTAACAGCTATGGATTTCCCATAAACACTATCAGTGGCATGCAGATGGATGGGGACCTATTTTGAGACTGATTACGGAGCTGCTCAAGTGTGAGTATGGTTGTGAGGCTCATGTCAGTAATCTGGCTGTGGAGTCACAGCTCCTTTAAGACCACACTGTGGGTCATAGTCTGAAATCCAGAACAAGCAGCCCCGCCCTGTCTATCTTTAATCCCTTTACAGAGAAGGATGTGGTCAAAATCAAAAGTAAACATGAAGTACTAAGACAAGTGGAAATGGATGGAAGAAGTAGGTTGCTAACGGGTGATATCAAGTGACTACAAAAACAAAGGTTGTGATACACAGATGAGTGTCAGCATGATACAGAGCTCTATTAATTTCTCTCTCTCTCTCTAGGAGGATGGCGCTGTACCAGGGTGAATGAATATTCTAGCAGAAGATTAATAAATGATGAGGGGAGGCAGTGTTGAGAAGCTCACAACGCTGTGCTCAAGCGTTGTTTTTGCATGCTCTTCCTCCACCCCTGTACATTATGTCTTCAGTCAGGTTCTCCCATGATGCTCTCTCTCCTCCTCCATCAGCACACAACCTCCCTGCTTCTGTCCTCTCTGTTTCATCTCATCCTCTACTGGTCATTATCAAGAGCAGGGTGATGTTGACAACACAATATTTTTGACTGAAAACCTCTACATCAACAAAGTGACTTGTATATTTACACGAGATAACTAACAATCATTAGTAGTGTGGATATGTTGACAAGGTGGGTTGATGTTACTAAATTCACTAACTCTCAATCAGTCAAAAGTAAATGAAGTGATGTCCAAACTAACAAAAAATGCAGAGCCACTGCAGCATGTTTACAATGTTCTCGCAAGCAAAGTCTGAGTCAGTTGATAGACTCGGTCTCTGATGCATAAAAATACTGATTTATATGTCAGCAAGGACTGGTGTAACCTCACAAACTACTCAGCATTACTTTACAGCATTACTTAATAGGAGAGTTGTTCTGCTTTTGAAATACTCCACTATACAGACAGATACACTGAGAAAAACATTATAGATACAAGCTTTGACGTGGCCTTTAACAACAACTTGCTAAATAAACCTCCACACAACATAAATCTCTTGACCCTTTTATTCAATATTTTTCCATCCTTTTTCTCCTTACCCTCTCTCCTCATCTCCTCTGTTCACTGTTTGTTTGTATGCCAGAATGGCATGACTTAGTGGAAAGCGAGGAAAGTTAAGTAGCTCTCTAGGGCCTAGAGGTTGCTTTGTCTATGCGTGTTCAGAACCCAGCAACAGGTCTGAGTGTACCGGTACGCTTGTATTGTTTTTCCAAACCAGTTTAGATGAAACGCCGCCCACTTATTCATACAGAAGTGGGTATGACGTCATCTAAACTGCATTGGAAAAATAATGAACGCTACCAGTACACAGAAACACAAAACAACACAGAGACACACAACATTGGACAGAGGTCATAGTTTTACACCTGTGGCAAGTTTAAACTATCTCTACAGTTTGGGAGGAGTGCAATACTTTTCATGTGGAGAATTATACTGTAATAACCTGCCGAGGCACAGTAAAGCTAACTTACTGATATCCGTAGGTAGGCAGAGCAGCTCTACTGTTTGCTCCAGGCAATGACCTAAAGCACAAAAGGAGAGAGAACATCAAGCTGAGTATAAAACTGACAACCCACATGAAAGACAAACAGTTCGGCATGAAGATTGAGCTTTGATCTCTTTCTCCTGCCTAATGTGCAGAAGGTACGGGGGGCGGTGATGACAAATGGGATTGTTAGGTGATAGTGGTTAAGGTTACACAGAGTGACACTGTAGGCAACTGTCATTTGACTCATTTGAATTGCATCATGCTAGGGTTGAACATAGACCGTCCAAGTCCTGCCACAGATCCACGCTGACACTATTCTGTACACAGAAAATAACAAAACAAATAAAAACAAATAACCTAACCCTTGAGCCAACTATAACAAAAAAATTTACGTTGGATCTGCTTCAATCAGCATCTAGATCTAAGATTTTTTCTAGACCTCCACTGTTTGAGCCAGAGGTGTGGCTGCTTGCATCAGAGTGACAAACCTGTAACAAGATTTCAGTTACAGCGAACCTGAAGCAGCAACATTAGCTCTGCTGTATTTTCCGAAACTCTGACAGGAGGGCTTCACCATCTGCCACAAAGGGAAGACCACATGTCACATCTCATCCTCACGGCCTGAGTCCCTTTGTGACAGCCTGAAGGTTGCTGTCCTCTCTCAGCACTTGGATCAGATCGACCAGAAAACACACCAGCAGCACACGCACTATTGGTGACAGTATGATAGCTCTTTTACAACAGCCAGTGGGGATTGTGTTGAGTGCATATATCCCATCAGAAGGGGGTAAAAAAAAAACAAAAAAACAAGCAGGTGTAAAATGTGTTGAAGACAGCAACAGTGGCAGCTATTCACCAAACAACAGAACAGCTAATCTGCCATAATTCCCAGATGACACAAAATCACATCAAGAGATTTCCACTTAGTTATGCAATAATTACTGTTCAAAGAGACAGATATTCAAACATTTACCTCTAAAATAGCTGGCTTTAAAGAAGAATTCAAAACCATTTAAATGCTATTGAGTCCTCAGCAGAGATTCATTGGTTTATCTGGCCAAATCTTGGAGAGAGAGAATAAAGAGAGGAGCAAAACAGGTGAACTGCAACTGATCAACACTCGCTGACTCATTCTTCCAAGGGATTAAAGTTTGGTAGATTTGTATGATGTTTTTTTTCTCATTTTTGATGGCAATTTGTACTGTACTTTTGAAAACATTGTTTTGACTTTTAATAAATACCTGGAGGTATACACCAAAATAAAACATGACATGCTTGACCACATCACTTACTTTACCTTAACCCGAAAACTAAGTCTTAATCGTAGGCGTAATTAATCTTGTTGGGAGCCAGTTTTTATTTTCAGATTGTGGATGTGTCCCCACGGTGACCGTGTGAAGAGATTTCTGTCCCCACAAGATGAGAAATACATAAGACACAGAGACAGAGAATGTGCATTAGAAGTAGGTACAATGATGGTGCCTCTCCCATCTAACCACTGCTGTAGTTCACCATGACTCCCTTCCCTCTACTTGCATATAGCCCTGAGGCTTGTAGTGGTCCCACAGGTCCAACTCACACTGCAGCACGCTGCAGCTATACAGTGTTTGAGACAAAACACTCAGCAGATCATACTTACAACCAACCCAAAGGATACTTGAGTCTGCTACTAGAAATCTAGGAATTTTAAACTGCATAGCCTCATTCCCTGCAGCATGGTGTAGTCTAAAGTCTAAATTCAGATACATAAATAACCTTTTTTTTTTTATTAATAACTGATGGTATTGTTATCTGTGTCCACTTTCCAGACTTCCCTTGCCAATGTCATTAATCTTTCCTGACCAATCACAGTATTGAAGAGTTGTTTTACTGCACTGCAACAATCAACCATGAATATCCAACTCAGAAATTAGAGGCAGAAGTCACATGGATGTGACTAAATCCAAAACATAAAGTCTACAGAGAAGAATTAACAACACCCGTTTCTTAAATTACAATGGTAATAGGCCTGTTTAGCATAATTATCCTCAATTAAAGAGGGCATTCCTTATTTTTCACAGTAGTTGCATCATGGATGAAATCTTCTTTGTCCTATTTCAGGCTTAGCACTAAAATATACTGTATACAGACAACACCAGATAGGTTATCAAATACACCAAATGTTTAGAAGTGCAATTCTTCAACAGGTAAATTGTAGCACACAGCATCACACAAAAAAGCAACAGTTTGCTAGAATGCAAAATCTACATTTTTTGCTTTCCCCCAGCAATGCCATATTTACTGGTGCCATAGCACTAGCCCTATACCTAACACAGAAATCCTGAAGGGATAAACACTCCCTGTGAGAGAGTCATGGCCTCTTGACTTCTTAATTGCTGGATGGATTAATTGGACTATTCTTTCAGTTTTTCAGATTTGACTGCTCGGGATTTGACATTAATGACTGAGCCCTTTGACACAGCAACAAGAAATGCTAAATGTGATTTTGCATGGAGCTGACACCTGATCTGTTCTTTTACACACCTTGGTTGTTAGTATTTATAATCAGTTAATCTGACGATTATGTTTTTTGATTGATTAGTAGTTTGGTTTATAAGGAAACATCAGGGCAAGGCAAGGAAAAGTAGCAAATTATTACATTTGAGAACCTGGAACCATCAAATAGTTGGCATTTCCTCTCAAAAAATGACCAGTACAATTTACTGATTATCAAATAGTTACAGATTAATTTTTGGTTGATTGACAAATCAATTAACTGACAAATCCCTGCAGCTCTAATATCTGGAAAAAAGACTGGAAGAAAATAAATGATGGCTTCAACTAACAATCATTATCAACTGATCTCTCTATTATTTAGGAATCAATCAATTATTCATTTTTTCACAGTCTATAAACTGTTGTAGTTGTACAGAAGACAGATAGTAATGACAGAAACTGTATTATTGAATTGGAATCTGTAGGGGGAAAATATGATATGATGGGATGACTTGCATTCTTAAAAATGTTTTTTTGTTATGAACGGCATAATTATGATAATAGTCAACAGACCTCAAACAAACACAAAAAAGCAAGCAGACAGCTACACAGCACACTTGTATGCATACGGACAGCTCAGTTCATCAGAGCCCATCTTCAGCAGGAGATCTATCCCCATTGATCTGAAACCTCTCTCCCTCGTCTCTCATGACAGGTAAAGGCTTATAGTACCCTGTTCACTCTAAAACCTTGCATAAGCTGTTCCCTGGCATTTAATACAACGTCAACATTTCACAAGGTTGCTCACTGCCATGCTGACGTGACGTCCTGTCCCAGAGCAATAACTAAGCTCTTGTTTCTCTATTGCAGACCTAAGGCACCTAAAGATGGAACAGAGGACAAAATGAAAAGTCCACTAGATGCTAACAGTCCAGTTAGTATGTCTCAGTATTCTTTGGCAGTCAATATAAAATAAAAAAAAACGTTATTCCAGTGATCCTATTCGAGAATATAGTGCATCTTATTGTGTGTAACATCTTGGCAAGGCAATGATAAAGTAATACCGCAGCACTAACACAAGAACTTATATTTAATTATTTTAATTATTTTCAAATTCATTATCTATTCAGTACAAACCGACCTCTATTAATTCTCTCATTAGTATTCTTCAGCTAGCCTTAACACACCCGAGGCACAGAGGTTAGCACAGACGCCTCCAATTCCAGCATGTAGGACCAAACCAACAGACTGTTTTTGAGTTTATTGCTGAGGTGCGGAACTTCTTTTTATGACCTCTGAATTGAATCTTGAACCGAAATCAGAAAGAAACTCTTTGATGCCATGCTTGGGCAATTAGTGTAATGCAGTGTACTACATGTTCAGTGCTGTCGGTTTATGCGTCTAGAGATGTTCAGGATGTCACTGAAACATTGTCTGAATACATGGCTAACCCAAAACTTTGCTTTACCTGTTGGGAAATGTATGTTATTAAAAATACCTATGATTAAAAGATATTAGAATTTGCTCAGTAAGTAAAAGGAAATGTTCCCTAAATTAGAAAATTGTGTGACATATCGATATAGCTTTTAAGCACGTGCCTTATTTAGTGTAATTAGGTCTGCTTGTGGTGTAAATGACAATGAAGAGGAGAACATTTGGAATATTTGCTCTGCTATTTAAAGTAAGCCCAAACAGCAAAACAAAACAGAAGACTGGACCCTGCTATCATTGACAGCTCTTTAAGTACACACACTATGAGACAGCAATACTTAACTTTCACCTTCCCACTGATGTGAGCATCATTCAGTATTGTTTTGACCTTGTGTATTTGTGTACCCTCTCGAAGGGTATGTACCTTTTAAGTCTTCAGTGCTGCATTTAAGATGAGACACCACCATATTTATCGTCTACTTATCTCTTAGGGAACTGAAAGTCATATTTGAATGCTCACAGTTCTCCAATATACAACTCTGGATGTCTTTCCTGTTATTGAGCACATTACCATTCAGGGTTTTCCCTAGGTTTCCATGGTCACTAGCCAGCTAGTTACTGTAATCATTGTGTTATCATTTTCTCTGACAGCATTTTTCAAATTGTCTTTTTTGACGCCTCCATCTGTGACAATCCTAATCCTCTGCTGTTTCTCCCTGGTTTATTTCTGAGGGGCTAGCTGGTTATCGTGCTAACTTCAGTAGAAGAAAAGACAGGATAGAAACAAGAGTTAACAATGGCATTGCTTTCCACCTTGGTGAGTAAAGGAATAACGTCTGATGCTGAACTCGCAATGTTTCTTCTAGACTGGTGAGAAAATGCTAATGTTTGCTATGTAGCAACAGCAAAACTTACAAATACCTCCTTTAAGGCTACAAACACCCATAATGCAACGCTCTTACACATACTCTCTCTATTCAAAAAGAATACCTGATGTAATGAACACATAATTGTCTTGTCATATAATAAAATATAAGACGGTCACCACTTTTTCAAACCTAATTTCCAGAAAAAAATATTGTCTTATATCCAGGCCTATAGGCTACAGTATCCTCTCTCCAGGGCGGT